CTGTACATAACCCTAGCCTTTCAGCGACTCATTACAGTCAACCCCTGTCAAAAAGCCTGTCTACACATTCTCCCCCTACATAGCCTCGAGCGCTCAGCCTCCTCTCGTGATTACATGACGCTTTACTCAATAGAAAAACTATCCGCGACCTTTTACTTACCGCAAACAAAAAATCTTTAGAACGTTATCATAATGAACATATGCTCCAATAGTTAAAGATGTAACTAACATTGTTAAAAGACCAGAAAAACACATCAATATGCTGACAAACGAACAGAAAACCACGCGCTCAAGAAAACACAATCCAAAAAAAACCAATGCGTATGAATTAGATTTCGGCCCGCTCTTAACACACAACTGCGATTGTGACCAGATGCCCAAAACCAATAGTCTGATCTGCGTGTACAAAAACGTACCAGCAAATTATCTACTCATACACTTCAACAACAACACTAAGGATCTGTTGTCTGTCCGAAAACATAGCCACATAACTTTACCTCACCACAGTTACCAATTTCATCCCACATCAAAACAAGTAGACAGAGTTAGAATCGCCCAAAACACTGTCAATGAACTCATCGAAACGTAACTCAACCAATATCTTCCAAGCATTAGACCCAGGGCTTTATTCAAGAACGTTTACTAACGCACATCCAAAGAAGATTTCATGCAGACTACGGTATTCCCCCTAGCTCTACGCTTTTTAACCATACCAAGATCTCGATTTAGTAATATCCTTTCCCAATATGAATGAAGCCGAATTGCTACCTAGCTCGGCCCTTTTGAAAATCCCCACTAGATTCAGTCCCTAACAAAAAATATTCCTGATAACCTTGGCTTAAGACACTCTTCAAAGAATTAACCGATCAAAGTGCTAAAGCTGCACGGAAATGAACATCACAAATGAGACCAGCAGTACAATATCAGGAAAATTATCATAAGCGGTTTTTTCAGAAGCCATATGTCTGTACATAGAGATCTTTAGTCTGAAACACCCCTGTCGCAACATCTGCCTTTGGAAGCTCGACCAATTACTCTCATCTTCAACCAGAAGAAAACAATTAACCAATCATCATATATCGATTTCACCCATTATGACCCTCCACAGTTCTAGTCATACTAAATATGTGAATCAGTCCAAAAAAAAAAATGTACTCCCAAGACCATTTACAACTCATATCAAAGATAAACATGTCAAAATCTTCCATAATGATACAAATCTCTAACTCACGTCAAACTCCTTAAGCAAAAGTCAGTTCATATTTTATTTAGCACAATTTCACGCGTTATAATTATAAAAATATATGGCTCTTAGTTAGCTTTATAACATACTAGCTACAGATGACATTACCAATAACAATTAGCTACAAATTAAACAAAGAAAAACAAACAAAATAATTGAAATTTAGAGGAGTACTACAGTCTCGAAACTAATCAATATCGAACCAAGATTGAATGCTTCATCAAAATCAAAATCATCTGTTTTAACTGATATAAACGCGTAAATATATGACCAGTCTCACCCTCAGGTATGAATCTAGCGTAGATAAAGGCCTCAATCTCCCCCAAAAAATGACTAATTAGCTCTGGTAAGCCCGAATGTAACTTCCCGCTTATTATGGTGCATACAGATTCCCATCAATTCTGCAGACATTAGGGCCTAAACAACGCAACACATTATCTCTAAGGCTCACGCCCCGTATCAGAGCCCCCCCCTCTCTACAGCTCATACGGGCCATTCCATACACCCAGCATTCAATCATATGGCTAAAACTACGATCTAACCAACACCATGCTCAACTATCATTGCATTTGGAATTCTTTTCCATTCACCCTACCTACAAAACAGACCCAAACCAACGAACGAGGCAGACCAAAAACTACAAAAAGTCTCACCCAATAACTAACCAAAACCACATCTAACCAACGCAGATCAAACTAATCAAATCCTGAGACAATACATATCAGCTAGGTAACCCCTTACTGCTCAAAACGCCCACACCCCACTTCCCTCCCCTGTCCACAACATCCTTGTCCTCCACACGGCATCCTGATACCGTGCCAATGAAACAGACTTTACCTACACTACCGACCATACTTATACAACAACGCCACCAACATGTGTACCTACGACACCTAAACGACCGACCCGGACAACGACAAAAGCGCTACTTAACTTATTCTACACTGCAAACACAAAAGCCTCCAAAAAAACTTTTTTTATTTTACGAATTTTCCTCTTTTTTATTTTCTTTCTCTTTGTTTGTTTTTCTTTTTTTGCGCCCTACAATTCCGCAAACTATAACAAGCAGCCACTCCCCCCCCCCCCTCCCCCCCCCACCCACCCCCCCCCGCCCCCCCGCCCCCCCCCCCCCCCGCCGCCCACTACTCTCACAACAAAACCCGCCCCCCAAGACTCCCTCCCCACAACCCCACCCCCTCAGCACAAGAATCATTCAGCAAATCTGAACTTTCAATTACTTTTTGCTGTATACATTATAACCTCTTCTTCTTTTTGTTTATCTTTCATGATTTACAAAAACAACAAATCACATTAACTCGAAATAGCGCAGTTACTCCTGAAAAGCCGACACTCAACAACATCCGAAACCACAACAGCACACACCAAAGTGCCCACACGCAAACACCCGGCCACTAACCCTCATGCGTTTTCGACATCTCGCTATAAATCTTATGACAAAACAATCATTATATTTGACGTAAAAAGCCTTGTTCTAATGTTGCATATCTCACAATTTGAAAACTGATTTGCTCTAGATGTATATTAATTTTGTTATCATCTTATTAATCTTTTTTTTAATTGTATTTAATTCTTTACTATACACTCTATTATATACCCCCATCTTTGGACTCATCAGCCTCCAGAATAAACTCTTATAATGTATTCCCAACCCATCCAAAATCTGCTTTACACCATTTACTTACACATATCATGCAAAAACTGGTATTTTGCATTTCTTAGAAACAATTGTATACTAGGTAATCCAGAGAAATTCAAATAACACACTCACACCTCCATCCCAATCAAACAATTAAAGCCATCACTTCTCTCATCGAAACTAAACACATTAACATCCAGCAACTAGTATCCCTTCAACTACAGAACCTATCCACTACTCGATCTCTGTTTTTTAGTTGGGATGTTGCGAGCTGAACGCGAAGAATCTCGCTACGTTCGTCTCTTGGCCCTTCTTCTCCCCAAAATCTCATAAGTGATTACCCCACGATCTCCTTTTCATTGACAAATCCTCTTGTTCTTGTTGTAACTAAGAAAAAAAAAGCGCCCCCCCACCCGAAGAAAAAATAATAAATCGACACAGGATCCCCCCCCCGGATTCCTATGTTATCTCCCGCTCCATTTTATTGAAACCAACGATCAATATATCTTGAGAAATTATCTTGCCAGAAGGTTTTGAAAATTAACTTTTCTTTACAGATCCAGGCAAGAGCCCGAAACTTGAGCCACGTTACCATGGCACGGCGGCGTTGGGTAAGTTCTATATAGCGTTTGATTGTTAACTGCAAAAAAAATATAATTTTGCCCTTGCGCCCCCGCCAAATTATTCATTGTTCCTGCCAAGATTAATTTGTCTTCAGAAGTTGAGTATCATAAAGGAGAACCATCCAATTTTCTTGTTTTTAAAGAAGGTTTTTGCCTGCTGCTCGTTTTTGTATATCAGTCCTTTATTGTTCAAACGCTGTCTTCATGTAATTCATATAATATTCATGTCTGACCAAGTATATATCTCATTTTTTGGTTTGTGTTTTGATACAATACTTGATGTGCTTTAGAAAATATCTTACGTGAGGACAATATCTTCTTTTTCAAACCACTCTCAGTAAATTATTGATTTTACATAGGAAGAAACTAAAATTTGATTCCCGCTAGATTATACTTGCAATTTGAAATTACTTTTGAAACCAATATCTGATATTTGATTCACAGTAAGACTTCCTTATTGATCGTTTCCTTACCTCTAAACAATCCATCTAATTTGGTAACTTTTTTTTTTTTTTTTTTTTACCCACCCCCCCCCCCCCAACTGGGAAGTAGATTGATTGGTTATTTAAAGGTGCCAGGGTACATGGTAGCTATTTAATTTTTTTTTATTTTTGTTTCTTTTTTAAGAGCAACTAATCCCAGCAGTGTTGTTGGGCAAAGTTGATTTTAAACTACAATTTTTGATATTCCCACTTCAGTCACAGTAAAGCCCGCCTTCATCGTGGAGTGGAAATTTATTCTTTATGCAGTCATAAAGATTTTTAATTTCTTTTTTTTTTATCTCTCAAACCCAACAATGATTCATTGCACCCCCACCCCACCCCCCCATCGCCCCCCCTCCCAACTCCCCACCCCTCCTCTCCCCCCCCCCCCCGCCCCCCCCCCCCCCGCTCAACCCCCCCCCCTACCTACCCCCTCCCCCTCCCAGACCCCCTGGCGCCACACCCTTCTCTCCCCCTCCCGCCCCCCCTCACCCCCCGGTCCTCCGGCCCCCAACCCCCCCGCTCAACCCCCCCCCACTCACACTCCCCAGCCCCCCCGCCTGCCCCCCACCCCACCGGCACACAATTCTATCAGTGTTTTCTCCACCCCCCTAATAAAATAAATACCAGCGTGCATAGTGATTTT